CACTGAAGTCGACACCTACAACTGACATACCACATAGTTGCACAGTTAACTTCCCGAACTTCGAGGACCAGTATTTCACAGGGCAAAGTTGAAAATTTTAGTAATTTTTGAATGTTTCTAGGTGGACGATCAATGGGTTTATGCACTCAACAGAAGCACTAATCGGAAAGGAATTGTCCCGTTAGTCTATATTGATGTAAAAATCCCTCTTCCATCAAGTGATCCTGCTTTGCCTTGTAAAGTGTGAGTCAAACTCTTTCTCAATTCATAATTTCTAAAAATTTACAATACCACGTAAAGATGTGGCGTTTTTTGGAAAGGTGTGCGAGGAAATCATTTTTTCTTCTAACTGTGCAAAATAGCTTACCGTGGGAAATAAGTAATAAGTGATGTTCATCGGAAAACCGAATCGACGACCGTGTATCTCTACAAGTAATTTCTGGGCACAGAATGGGTGACTTCAAAGAGTGGAAAGCAATGATGCTTAGGAATGTGTATGCACTCGCGATAGGTACAGAAAAGATCCCTGGATTTGTGCGTAAAAATGATGTTCATGGACGGAAATTGGTACTTCATTTGGTAAAAAAGTTATGCCATTTTTAGATGATTCGCTGAGGAGGAGACAAAGTAGGCATGGCCTTCTGCTTTTGTGTTTGGTGGGCTGTGAACAAATTCCTGTGTAACGCTTTTCCTAGGCACAAAATACTGAGCATGATGATGATGGTGACTTTTGATTGAAACCATTGTCCCGAAATTTGAGTTCTGAATTATATCATCATTTATCTCTTTGGATGCTACTCATCATGCTAATCAGCTTAGATAACCAGATGCGAAGGCCTTCCATTTTGCAAAATCATTGGAGGATCTAGGGAGACGGGGGAAGGGGCCGAGGTGGGGAGGGCTAGGGGCCTTTTGCCTTTCCAGCGGCTTAGGTAGCAATTGTTTCACTGTACAAAAGTCTTTTCAGTATCTGCTCTCGGCCCCCCCCCCTTCCTTCAGGAAACTGGCCCGGACCCGTCTGTGTTCAAAATGCAAGCAAACGAGGAATTTTTGGTGAGGATGAAAAAGAAGGGCCTGCGCAGCAGATCACCATGATTTTATGCGTTTGCGATATGTTTTTACTGGTCATCAACTTCAGGAGTGGCCGAAAATAGAAATAATCCCTTTGTTCGAAGATATGCGGTACTTTCCAATTTCACAAATCTCTTGAAAGGATGAATTTTAAATTGTTTTTTGCGG